ATTCTTAGGGGCACCCTCCATACGATTGAGGAAGAGCTGAATAGACACAACATCCCTGTTGTATTCACTAGAGCTGGCTGAAGGCATCTTCGTCACTAACGCTTTCACGTTGTACAACGGAGTATCGCCATACCAAGCACACGCTGGACGACAGCCCTCCTTTCTTCTTGACCTCGACACCCTTGACTTTCCTAAGGGGCCCGAGACGTCAGGCCACGAACGAGAACGCCGCGCGAGGGAAGTTAGCCCGGAAGCAATAACACAAGCCACGGCGGTAGCTAAGACAAATCGTGCTCTCAGGGCTAAGACGGCCCCAGATGGTGCTCGCCTTTACTCAGCAGGGGACTTGGTCGACTATCACCGACCTACAGCCACTGAGGACGACCATGGAGGCTGGAATGGCCCGTTTCCTGTGATCCGTAAGGTGCCTGAACGAGGACACGTCGTCGTCAAGGCAGGATCACGTGAGGTAATTGCAATGTACATTGATGCTCGACACACGCTGTACATTGAATGCTTCCTTACCAGGGAACTTGGCATGGACAACATGGCCATGCAAACCGTCCTTACATATGTGGCACACCTTGGTGCAGGGAAACCTGCCAAAGTCTTTGGCTATATTCCAGATTACAAGGGAAACCTCAATCTGTCGGACGACAGCAAGTTCCACCCGCGCGTACACCTTGCACTACAGTATCTCGTGCGAAATTATTTCCGAGTTGAACGCGTAGTAGCCGTGAGACTGGCCAAGAGCGCGTCTAGTCTACCTGCAGTTAAGTACGCCACCGGGTCTACACTGATCCACTACGACAACGACGTCAACCCAGCCTTCCACTACTATGAGTGTGTGGGCACCGGCTTGAACATCTCCCAAATCACTGGTAGCACTCACTCCAGACTCATCCACTGCCTGACGTCACATGTTCCTTCCCTAGGATTTCATGACGACCCTGCCAAGTATCAGCACTTGGGCACAACATCTGGAGAACATGACCAGCCTGGAGACAGGCCTCCACCAGACACCCCAGGTGCTTCATCACCAAGTGAAGGTCGCCTGTCTACAATCTACGAAGAAAACGAGGAACATGACATCGAGGCTATGATGATGGAGGAGTGGTACGACGAACTACGTATGGACCTTCATCCCACAACGGTTACCGACGATCATCTCTACTGCGTCCCAACAACCATGCTGCCCGACCAATGTGTTCTGGTCTCAGCATCCGTGGACGAGGAAGATATCATAGTGTCGGAAACGCTCGGAGACGAGCCTGAACCACAAGAGCCCTGTCTTATCTCTCTTTGCTCGACTACACCTGACGAGGGCTATTCTCTTGACAGTGATGAGCATGGTCCTTATGTCGAGTTATGTTTCACCAGAAATGTCAAAGGTAGTGCTGGATCAGACCCAACTTGCACAGCTTGAAACTGACATGGTCGCAACGATGAGAGTATATGTATCATCGGCTGCGAAACGTGCTGTGGTAGTCAAGGAAGACGACCTACTCACCAAAGCCGATATAGCAGCACACCCTAAAGAGGTTAGTGAAGCGTTGTGCACCGAACTCAAGATCTGGCTTGATAACCGGTGCTTCGAGATGTATGACCTATCATCTAAAACTTCCAACATCATGACATCCAGATATGTATACAAGTGGAAGTTTGTGGAGGTAGGCACCGAGAATGTTAAAACCATCCGTATCAGACTTGTCCTTCGTGGATTCATGGACGCAGCGGCGTTTGATATAGAAACCTTCTCAGGAACTGCTCGAAGACAGTCCCAGAGGCTCCTGGCAAGTGAGGCGGCATGCCATCCAGAATGGATCTAAGCATATGGATACGACAAAGCGTTCCTCAAAGGTCTGACCTATGAGGAACTTGCTCATGCCACCGGCGAGGAAACTCGCATGGTTTGCTTCACTCTTCCACCAGGAAGCGCCCAGGTGCTTCGTACACTACCAGGCTTCTTACGATGAAAGCCGACGCTGCCTCAGGTGCCTCAAGCCAGGGACGGGTACAAAGGGCGCCCCAAGAGCGTTCCCCCTCAAGCTTCGTACGACCACACGAGCTATAGGCCTCACACCGACCAGTTACGATCCTGAGTTTGAATTCAGTCAAGATCTGTTAACGGCAAAACATGTCGACGAAATCAACATGACAGGCCTAGAGAAAAATGTAGATGACTATGTACAACGTGTCGACAAAGTGTTTGGTAATGCAAGCTCAACAAACATTATCATACGAACTGCGCCGTTCGCTACACCAAGAATGAACAAGGGGATGTGATCATGGATCAGGACGAGTACATTAAACAACTATGTCCTATCGCACACCCTGAACTTACGGGAGCGGCGGCCGACGCCAAAGCTACCAAACTCATCGCCGACATGTTCGTTAGCCTGCGAGGAGCTCTCGCCTATGCCCTTCTGATTCAAGTCTGGCTTATGGTGCATGTAGTCTCTCTCCAGAAGATCCAAGAGCCCACCAACTTACAAGTCAGACGACTGAATGCTGCGACGCGAAAGTTGATCAGCAGCCCGAAACGCATCACCTTACTTCGGATGAAACCGACGAACGAAGTAGACATACACAGTGATTCGGGGTATCGGAAGCTCACCGGCGAGGAAGACGATGAGACCAAGGGTTACGGCATCCGTGGGGCTAACGTATTACGGCGAGGAAACTCGCCTCAAGGCAAATCCGTCATCCACCTTTGCAACGGACTATGCAAATCACACCGATTGCAGGTGAGGTCCAGCTATGCCGCTGAGGCCTTTGCAGCTGCACACAACCTTGATGCGTGCCCCACGCTCATCACTCTCCGCGAGCTCAAGGCAGGGGCACTTACTCCACGACAGCTACAAGATATGCGTGAAGTTGGAGGCCCAGCCATTAAAGTATCCCTTACTATCGACGCTGAGTCTGCATACAAATCGCTATCCAGCAAAGATCTTAAGATACCGACGGAACGGACTTTGCAGGGACATAGCAGCTGGATGCGTGAGCTCATGGATATAGGTATAGCGCACAACGCACAGTGGTGTGATATTAGAGATATGACCGCAGATGGGCATACAAAGGGGAGTATCGATCGGGAGCTGCTTTTGGAAGTGATGTCAGGCACTCAGTCATTTAAGTATGACGTGAAGCAGTTTGTTCCCTTTCGGGGTCCTGGGGACAGAAACAAGCCTAAGTCAAATCAGCTTTAGTATGTCCTTGTTGCCCCGCGGTCCAGTCTGCCAGCACGGGCGCCTAATACAGAGGCGCCCTCCTAGTTGCTCGGAAACGAGCCTTACTTCTCACGATTGGCAACGAGCCTGTTCAGATTGATTCAGGCTCTTTGCTTTAATACCCTTTTGCTCGGGGAGGTATAGCCCGTTTGGATTACCTCTCGCCGGGCCGATAGCCCTTTGATGTCCAAGGGGCTATCTTGCGTATGCGTGAAAATGCTTTGCGAGGAAACTCGCCTTACAGTCTGGTGTTAGGCCAGACTGTGCGCGCTGATTTTCTTGCAAACAGTCGCGCGCGCGGCCTTTGTGGAGCCTAACGGCTGCGCGGCTATACTCACCGTCTCCCCCCCCCCCCCCCCCCCCTTCCCGACTTTAAGGGTAGCTCTTTGGGAGGTGTTATATAGGATCGGGAGTATAGCTCGCGCGCCGTTGCCTTTGGCTCAAGGCACGCGCGCCCTAGTTGCCCGGACACTGCTTGCGTTCGCTACGTGTTGGAAATATCATTACATCGATATTATCATATCTTTTTCGTCCACTCCCCATGCTGAACTACCCCAGCATGGCATTGGACGCTATCTGCCATCCGCTTCCCATGGAATCGGATGCTGTTTGACTTACCACAGTTATTTCAGACTCTCTGGACGTCGTCCGAGCACGGCGCAATTTCCATTGCCGCCGCCAGCGATGCATTCGGATGGGAGGGGTCTATTCCCCGCCGCTTCAGCGCACGCGCGGCCACCTCCAGGGAAGGTCGCAGTTTCTCGACGACATCATCTTCTCATATGCGCGCGGACAAACCGCCATCATCGCTACCTCCCACGTTCACTCAGCACCGCTTTCGCCGACGACCGCAATTCCACCACTGGCTCCGCAGACGACCTTCGACTGCCCTTCGAAGCCACCACCGCCATCGACCGCTTCTCCGGTCAGAAGATGCACCCCAGCAAGGTTGCGGGCTGGGCACATGGCCACGACTTTCATGAACAGGACTCCCAAACCACCCTCAACAAGAAGCCCCTCGAAGTCCAGAACAACATCAATCTCGCCGGTAGCTGCGTCAACCCAGGAGCAGAGCCGCCCGCGGGCACTCTGAATCTCACCCGCGCCGCCTGCGCGCCCGCTTGGGGTTCCCTACACGGCTGCAGGCCCCACTTCCCGCCGGCCCGATTGCCCGCGCGGCGACGCGTCATCGGGGCTTGGTTGCGGCGGCGGGGGACGCCCCGTCGTTCACAAGCCGCTCAGCGGTCAAGCCCTTGCCCCTCGGCTGCAAACCGGGGCTTCGCCGACCTGGGCCGTTCTCTCACGCGGGGCGCAAAGAGACGCGGCGCGTCGCCTGCTCACCACCCCGCCCTTCTACCTCAGTCGGTATGCGCAGGGGGGGCGGTTGTTTCAACATCCCCTGTTCCCACAGGTGCGCACCACCGCCAAGATTGCGGTGGCGGCATCGGCTACCTCGGCAGCCGGCTGTCGACGGGACGCCCGTTCATTTGTCCGATTTCTCTCTCTCTCTCTCTCTCTCTCTCTTTGTTTTTGTTGTTCCTCTCTCTCTCTCTCTTTTTTCCCCCTCTCCTGTATCTCGCTCTCCCACTCATATGTGATTGGTGATGTTGTGTGTGCCTGCGCGGTCATTCGATGTCATGCCGCGCATTCCCCAATCATGCCAACAACAGTTATTCCATCGAGGCAGAATTCAACACATGTGTTCCGAATAATTTTCTGGGAAACAGAAGTTCGTTAAACCAACATTGTTGTCGGATTGTGTTTGGTATTGCCAATTGTTCGGGCCCAACGCAGTTAAAACGAACTGCGTTGCGCCACTGCCTTCGGCGGGGGCCCAGCCCGACGCCGACCTCCAACATCGTCTCGGCATCGCCTTCGGTGGCCCGAAGGCAACCTACAGCGAACAGTTTTGTGAGACGTCATGGCGGTCCCTTTTGGGGTACGACCCGTCCATGCATGTTATGTTGTGGATGTTCGGAAAGCGCGCCCACATGACGGTCGTTTTTGATGTTGTCGCACGTTTTCGCATTTATCTTTGATTTCGCGCGCCCCCCGTTCGCGTCAAGTAAGGTGTTCGGCGGTCTTTCCCGCTGCTCCTGTGCACCGCGCCGCTCTCCCGATTGAGCCTTTCGGCGTTCTACTACTCTTTTCAGGGTGGCATCTCCCTTGCAGGTGCCCTCCAACCGTTTCACGTGCCGATTCTGCGTGCTCGCCTCGGCTCAAGCACGTCGCCGAACGCTCGGTCGGGGTGTTGTTTCGTATTTCGCGTACCGTGGTACATCTTGACACATTGGAAGCATTTGATCATCCCCGGCATGCGAGAATGCTTCGCTGCCGTTGCCGATGAGAACACTCTTTTGCCCGCCGCTTGGTGCCAGGAGTCATGGCAGGAAGGCGCGGACTGTTTGGACACCTCCATGTATCAAAGTAAGGTTTTCAGCGACGTGGCATTCGACGTCGTGAAGGTTGCCGCATGGAATGCATTTGATAAGTTGACAGGGAACGAAAGTCGACTTAGCGTTCTAGCAGAGCCTGTGATCTCCAACGCCACGCGTGAGTTCGCCGAGGCGCAGCCACGGAAATTTCGGGCTCCACATCCCGAAGCGTAGTGTGTACTGGTAGGTCCGTGTACGCCCACAGAACACCCTTTGGGACCTTACATATCATATTTCCACATGGAAAATGAAACTGACAGCATATCCCTGGGGCCTTTATGAAAATCAGTGGCCAAAACGAAAATCAATGTTGGAGGATGCTCCTTGTCTCCGCACAGGTACCCCAAGCTGGCACTAGCATGGGCGGGGTGATGTGGGCCATGGTGATCGCCATGAGTCTCTTGGCGATCACTTGCATCTTCTGTTCGATGAGGATGTTCGAGCAAAGGACTACGAACCCGCCGCCGCTCGCCAGCGCCTCGAAGAAGGGCGGAATGCACACGACCTCCGCCACCAGCCTCAGCTCTGAATGGCCGCAGCGGAAGCAGCCGCCCGTGGCCAGCTCCCGCTCCTACGGGTCCATGCCCGCCTCCCGGCACGGGTCGGTGCCGACGAGCGCGAGAAGCTTGCAGGCAGGCAGGGCGTTGTCCATGAAGATCCAGAGCAACGGGAGCAGCGGTAGCGGTGGCGCTCGAATCATAAAAAGCACGTAAACAGAAATGCGTGGAGGTCCGCGCAGATTCCTTGCATCGGCGCTGAACCCCTTTGTTGGCGTCTTCAGCGCCGCCCCTGGCGCGCTCCGCACGCAAGGGAGGGGGATTCAGCGCGAATCCACGAAGTCCGCGCGGACCTCCAAAAGTTAATGTTTATGCCAGTTTGACTTTTCCAGGCGCGTACGGCAAGCCGGACGTCACGCCGCACAGCTCCTTGAGTATGTACGCCGACCAGGGGCCCCTCGGGCAGAAGTCGGGCGGGGGTTCCCTGTTCACGGTGCCGGTGGACTCTTTGGTGGACGTGACGGGGAAGGGCAGTGTCATCATCAGGGACACGTTCACCGGTTCGGTGCTCCGGGCGGCCGTGTCTCAGAACCTTGATGGTTCCCGGAAGGTCCAGGTCTTTCAGGGTGAGGACGCCGTTGCCCCGTGCGCGAGTGTAGAACCGCCGCCACCAGGATCGCATACCGTTCTGAACAGCTTGGAGATACGCGGGGCGAACAACGTGCACTTGGGGAAGCTAGTTCTGCAGAGCACAGGGTCGTTCCTCGTGCATGCCCACGGGCAGCAGGAGCTCGTCATTAAAGGCAACGAGGCCGACTTGGACCTCCACGTGTTTTCACACGACGGCCACCCCAGGGCAACAGTCTCATGTAAAGAGTACCAGCCTGGTGGACCCGAGCAGGTCGAAATCCACGTGCTGCCTGGCACTGATTCAGTGCTCATCGTCGCGTGCACCCTTGCGATTTTGTTCCTATGTGGCGAGAGTTGAGGCAACCCGCAAATGATCGCATGCACGTGCGACTCTCCGAGACGCATGGTCCATATAGTGTCCTTTTGAATTGTACGATCACCAGGTGCGACGCATAGCAATGTACAGCATGATGTGCCTCGTGTCAGCTGCGTCTCCCTGCTAGCCGTTGAGCGATGGCAACACGGTGTGGGCATCGGACCTGAGGGCCAGACCGTGACGCACTCCTCCTGACGAGGCGGTGTAGTTTCTCCGAAGCAAGGTACTTCGCCCACGATTCTTGCTCGATTGGCAATCCGTCGGCCACGAGATCCAGGATCCCTCAAGGCACGAGTCTTTATCGTATGCCCCCACTGCAATCGGTTACGCTGACTGTTGTGCAACAGCCTCGTCCTCTGCCGTAAACGCTGAGGTGCTGGACTCGATCCAGAACGGTGATGCGGACATAGGTCTAGGTTGTGCGTTGTTGCGGCTTTTCTGCAGACTGCTGATTCTGCGGAGCGGGATCGCTCTAGGAAAAAAGACAAGCAAGCAGGAGCGACGATAGCGCGAGGATCGGAGCCTATTTGCTTGGCACAGTGGAGAGAGCACGGGCAAGTCGCTTCTTCAGAGGGCCTACGTTGGGCCACATGCGCGCCGCAGGGCCGAGGTCTCTCGTGCAAGCTCTCAGGGCAGCCTAGTCTGGTCTTGTACTCTTCGGGGGAGGCATGAGGCCACGAGGGGGCCCAGGCACTTCAGCAACCGAACCAGATCCTACGCCCTGCCCCCGCCTCCGTATGCTTGTCTAGGGTCCTCCACGTGTTGTTGCTTAGGGCGTTGGCCAGTGGGATGCAAGAATCATGTCGTAGCAGCGTGTTCCTTCCCAAAGGGCGCTGCAGACTGCTGCTGTTGCAGGCACGCAAGAATGGTGACAACGACGGCAGTCAATTGGACAATCGTGATCTCGGCAGGGGCAAGAGCTCATGTTCGCCAGTGCGTCAGGACTGGATCGTGGCGTGTCGCTTTACTGCGCCTGCCTGGATTCGTTGTGAAGTGCTTTGGCTACGCAAGACCATGAATCTGTCATAACTTGCAAGACGCAGCCTCGAAATATTGTGTAATCCGTAGATGGTGCGCGAAGTGCGGAGGCGATAAGTATGCAGAAAGTGCATTAGGGATGCGAAGAAAGCGAGGTGTGCTTCGAAAGTTGGCCGAGAGCCTCTACACACATGCCACTTGGAATTGAGAAGCTTGTTGTTGTGATCGAGATGCGACCGTAGCACAATGACATGCTTATCATCGTACCAGCCTCATTGAGGCTTCACATTCCCACACCAGCTCATCCAGAAACGATGTTCAGGCAAGTGGTCGGGAGAAGGGGGGGTGACTTCAAAGAGATCGCCGTTGGAGCCTCTCGGAGGCTTCCCCAAACATCCGCCGATCTGATGTTTGTCCATCAGCGGCCTCAGAAGTCTTGACCGCTTCCCAGGGGGGCAGGCTTCCGTCCAGGAATATGTTTTGATTGTTCCATGGCCAGGTAACGGGTCCCAGCGGTCAAAATCTAGGAGAGACGCGCCGACCTAAAAAAACATATCGTAGGAGATTTGGGTCTCGGGATCGTTGTGGTGCCTTTCCTAGGTTATTTGTTGGGGAGCTTTGCGGAGCTCTTTCGGTGCTGCTCTTGGGGCGTTCTCGGGGGCCCCTCCAGCTGCGCGGCCTTCGTGCATTCTGGCCGCTTCTCCAACCTGGTCCCTCGTTGGGTCGCCCATCAAAGGGCGGGATGCTGTGCCACCATCATCATCATCATCATCATCATCATCATCATCATCATCAGCATCAGCATCAGCATCATCATCATCATCATCTCCATCTCCATCTCCATCTTCATCTTCATCATCATCATCATCATCATCATCATCATCATCATCATGACCATCGACAACAAGAGCGTCAACATCAACAGCATCATCATCAGCAGCATCATCATCATCACCATAATCCTCCTCGTCGTCATCATCCGCATCGGCATCCCCAGCAACATCATCATCAGCATCGTCATTTTCATCATCATTACCATTTTCAGTACCATGATCATCAGCATGATCATCCTTATCATAATCTTCATCCTCATAACTGGCTTGATTTAGGGCGGATTTAGGTTGAGTCGGTTGAGTGTTTTTGTGGTTTGATGCCGACGACGGTTGTAATGATGGTGGTTATCAAATCGTAGTGCTGATGGTGGTGGCGATGGTGCTGGTGATGATGGTGGTGCTCATCACATCCAGAATCACCATCATCACCATCACCATCATCACCATCACAACCGCCATCACCATACCATCATCACCATCCCCATCATCATCATCATCATCATCATCACCATCCATACCATCAGCATCGCCATCACCTCACCATCGTCACCATTGTGGTCAGTAAGACTTGGCTCAAAATAATGTCGTCGTCCGCTGGGGCGGTTTCCCCGAGCCCTCCAGCCTCGTCCTCTCCTTTGATTTCCCCGAGCCCTGCGGCCTCGTCCTCTCCTTTGATTTCCCCGAGCCATGCTTCCCCGAGCCCTGCATCTTCTTCGAGGGCAGCTTCGCCGAGCCCGAGCCCGAGCCCTGCGGCCTCGTCGAGGGCAGCTTCGCCAAGCCGTGGCAGCTGCAACAGCTCGGACGCCGATGCTGACGTAGGGTCCGACGCCGACGGCGCCGACGGAGTTGCCGACGCAGCGGGCTCCGAAGAGGACAGCGGCTCCAACAGCGGCTCCGACAGCGGCTCCGAAGAGGACAGCGGCTCCAGCAGCGAGGCAGCCGCGGTTGCAAGAGCGAAGGCGAAGGCCGCCCCGAGCAAAGCAGTCGAGAAGTTCCCGCTGTCGTTGTCCATGACCCTGGAGGAGCACGCCGCCAGCCACGACTACCCAAAGCACGTCTCCACCTGCGGCGCTTGCAAATTTTGGAAGAACAAGGAGAAGTGGAGCGCCTCGATGTCTGCGACGAATCCAGTAACGCTGAAGAGTGAAACTTGGATAGGCTGCGCAGGTGGTAGATTTGCAGTCTGCTTGTTCTGCTCGGCGTTCAAGGGCGCTCGCTGCTATTCCACCGTAGGCCAGGGATCCGCGAGTTTCCAACGCAAGGAAACCTCGTGCGCCATGCACAGTGCGAGGAGCACCAGGCAGCAGAAGCGGCGTGGAAAGAGCGGATTCGAGCGGAAGGTGCGCACCAGGGTCTCCCCGTGTCTGTGTCCCCCACAACGGCTGCATCAGCTGCAGCAGCTGCAACAGCCGTGGCGCCTGCGCCCGCCGTCGTCCGCAACGCCGACCAGCGCCCTGGTTGCCGCGCAGTGGTCGCCACCCGTGCAACGTTGGAGACAACCAGTTCCTTCAGTAGTTTCGACGTGTGGCGGGATGCGTTCGTCGGGGGCGACCGCCAAGTTTCGGAGTCTAGTCGGCAGCGCCGGAGGCCGGTGACCACCATGGCTCAGCACGAGAAGATCATCACGCAGAGGATCCTCAACCATGGTGTTGTTTTTCGTTTGGCTGCGGACGGCCTCGACCGCGCGTAGCAGGTCGAAATTGGCACCGTGCTGTGGTCGATCCCGAAGGCTTTGGACTTCCTCCCAAGCTACGGTCTCAAGGCAGGCTGGCTGGAACAGCTGGGCCCCAGAGGGCCCTGGATCGTGGATCGGGCGATCGGGGCGCGGGAGTCCCCGCGGGGCATGGACTGCGACGGCAAGGCTTCCATGCTGGAGGAGTGCGTCCGTCGCGCGTGCCAGACGGCAGGCGGGGAGCTGGACGGGGACTTGCACAAGCATGTGCGACAGGAGACTCGGGCATGGTGCAGCGATGGGGCGGATCTAAGTGTACCCCTGGCTGCGACAGCTACGTTCCCTGGGCTGGCGTTTCGCGCGTGGGACGAGTCTCACTCGCCCGAGAAGGTTCTGGCCAATTCGATGAAAGGAGACAGCGAAATAACGACCACGGACGAGCTGCTGGTAACGGGTAAGAAGCCGCCAAGTCTGGCCAAGTTCCTGACTACTCGGCGGCCGCGGCGGGCCCGGTCTCTGGCCCCACCCCATGGATCCGGGCAAGGGCAGGCGAAGCCGGCGTCAGGTACCTCTCGGCAGCTGCGTCGCCAGGCTCTCGCCGGCGGCACTTGAAGCACCGCGCCAGAAGACCGATCAACCAGAGAGCTGCCGCGCAGGGGGCCAGCAGCGCCCGGCAGATGTAGGCGAAGAAAGCGAGCGCCGCGAGAAAGGCCAGGAAGATGAACGTCCACGCCGCCACCGGCCAGGCGGCCCCGAAGGCCGCCAGGCCCAGCTTCTCGAGGCCGTAGAAGAACCAGCCACCCTCCTTGGTCAGCCAGCCCCTCTCGGCGCGGGTCGAGAAGGCGCTCCCGAGGCTGTCCAGCTTCTCGCACGCGCCGCCGCCCACGCCGCCCATGCGCCAGGCCCAGATACCCTCACCCAAAGGTTTCCAGCCCAGCACCCAGACGCCCCAGCCGCCGATCCAGGACTCCTCGCCGCTGGCGCCGCCGGTGGCGTTGCTGGTGTTGCTGACTCCCCCGGCGGCATGGGTGGGGGGCCGAGGGGGCGCGCCCGGCGGCCCGCTGTCGGGCGGCGCCTGGGTGCTACCGGCAGCCTCGCCTCCTGTCTCCTGCTCGCCGGTCTGCGCGTCGTACTCGGAGTCGTCGTATAACGGCACGGTGCGCTCCTGCGGGGCCTCGCCGGCTTCGGCCGGGCCGGCCAACCCTGCTCTGGCCGCCGCAGAGCCGAGCGGCCCGCGCCAGCGTAGGCAGCTGCGCTGGGCCCTGAGGTCGGCCCCAGGGCTTTGAGCCCCGAAGGCTTGAGCGGGAAGGAAAGGGGGAGGAGAGAGAGAGAGAGAGAGAGAGAGAGAGAGAGAGAGAGAGAGAGAGAGAGAGAGAGAGAGAGAGAGAGAGAGAGAGAGAGAGAGAGAGATAGCGAGAGAGAGAGAGAGAGAGAGAGAGAGAGAGAGAGAGAGGAGAGGAGAAGAAGAGAGAGAGAGAGTAGAGAGGAGAGAGTAGAGATGAGAGAGCGATAGATCGGAATCAGTGGTGGCGAGAAGCAGAGGCGCGAGCGAGGACAGTACTCGCGCGCGCGCTGCGACGACGAGCGATAGGCGAGCGGGCGGCGAAGAGAAGAGACGAGACGATCGGGTCATTAAGTCGGCCCAGGGTCCTACCGCAGGACGCACAGCGGATCGAACAACTCTCCAACACTCAATTAGCGGTGCGTGCAGCGCCTTATCAGATCACGAGTGCGGGCCACAAACCCCCCTCCCCCGTCGCAAATGCAAAGCGACGGCGGCTAACAGGCGGCGGACCCGACGTTACGGAACTCACAAACCGACCATGCGAGAATAAAAGAGCCCCCAACCACGGAGGCGACGAGCTGACACGAGGCTAGGCGTTGGCAGACCGCACAGTTGTGCGCAATGGCCGCAAACGCGGCGCGCAGGGACGGGGCACCCCCCGCCCCCACGCCCTGACACCGTGGACGCGGAGCCACGCGTACACACGGGCAGGCAGAAAGGAGGAACTTAGCGCGGGACACCAGGTGGAGCGCCGCGGAGCGATGACAGCATAGCTTGGATGGTGAGTGGCGGCGTAGCACCATCGGGCGAGGGCGTAAGCAGCTCGGCGAAGGCACGCCCGGCGCGGTGGAGGCGCTGGAGCAGAGGGCCTTGACGGGCTTGAGCAGCGGCAAGGTCAGCGGCGAGAGCAGCACACCTCTGCTGGAGAGCGGCCATAGCCTGGGACAGCTCAGTTTCGCGGTCGGTGAGGGGCGGCTGCTCAGTGCCAGCGGCCGCGGGCCTCGTGGCAGGGACGAGGTCATCAGTGCGCCTGGCCAGGTGGTGGACTAGCGCAGTACGGCACTCCGTGTGCTGACGGCCGTCACCCTTGATAGGCGACTGGAGGGCACCACGCAGCCCCAGGGCTGGAGCCGCTAGGGCCACGCCCCGTGAGGTCGGAAGAGCCGCATCCTCGCGCCCAGCAACAATGGAAGCGTGGACGGGGTGCGACGGCCTGACTGGCTCGGTGCCCTGCGGGGGGGCTGG